GTATCTAAGATCATTTTTTCCCCCTAAGGATATTTTCAATTTTTCTTAAGGTTTGGGATAATGTCCCTTAAAGGTTTTTATTTACGTTTGTTCTCTTATGCGATACTACCATCTCTGTACTACCCCAGAGTGGGGCTATCACTTTCCTGACTCCTTCTTTCACTCTTTTGGGTGAAGGAATTCTTGTCAATGCAAATCTACAATTAGCAGAACCCATCTTTCAGTAAATAACTTGATATTTGAACTCTTTCATTTTGGAAGATTCCAGAGCATTTAGATTTTCTAATTTGGCTTTGAAAAATATGTTTATCTTCTAAATGGTTGTGTAGTCTGTAATATACTTTCACACACCTTTTTTATAAGCTCTTCGGTTTTGACAGAAAGGTGTTTCACTGTTTCTGTCTTCTAATTCACAACGTAAGTCTTTACCTTCTTGACATATGGCACTCTTTTCTGATGTACTATGTATTTCTTTTTTCTCTTGCATATCTTTATTCCTAGCATGAGTTAAATTTCATCTCCATGATACCACATATTTATGCTTGGCATTAAAAGATGCCATTCTCAATGATTATTGAGGCGGGCAGTGTCAGCTGTCTTTCTAAAGACGTCTACACCCTAATCCTTGTGACCTGTCTTTCTTTGTTTGTTTTTGTTTTGTTTTTTACTTGGCAAAAGGGACTTTATAGAAAGATTACATTAAGGGTGTTGAGGTAGAGAGATCCTCCTTGATTATCTGTGTGTGACCAAGCCAACCATATGAGTCCTTAAAAGTGGAGATCTTTTCCCTTCTGTGGTCAGAGAAAGATGTAATGATGGAAGAAAGGCACAGAGAGATGGAAAGTTCCTGGCTTCGAAGGTAGAGGAAGGGGGCCATGAGCAAAGGAATATAGGTAGCTTCTAGAAGCTAGAAAAGGCAAGGAAACAGACTTTTCCCTAGAGCCTCCAGAAGGGTACAGCTCTGCCGACAGCTTGATCTTAGCCCAGTGAGATCCTTGTTGGACTTCTAAATACAGAACTGTAAGAAATACATGTATGTTGTTTTGAGCCACTAAGTTTGTGACAGTTTATTACAGCAGCAAGAGAAAATGAATATAGTTATTGTGCATTCTCTGGGAAGGAAAACATCTAAACCATAGAGTTTTGTTCCACAAACCTTTCCTTATTCTCCTGAGACTAACTCTTGTCCTTTTTTTTTTTTTTTAAACTCTGTGGTTTGCCACACTGTCTGGTTTTATAGTTTTATAAGGGTATTTTCACAATATTCTACTCAAAGATTTTCTTGATCATACTATTGAGCTTTCTTCTAAATATGTTTTTCTGTTCTCAATAATACATGTACTGATCCCTTCCAAGAACCCATATCCTAGGGTTATTGGGATATTGTAGGCCATGGTCCAGCAACTGAATCTCAGCCTTCCCCTTGCTGTGTGTACTAAGTTCCTGATTTCCTACATGCTCTGTTATCTTCCAAAATCGTTTAAAAAATGGCCAAAATTTAAATAAATAAATAAACAAACATGGATTTTGCCTAGCATTTTGACACTTTAACATGTGCTTGGAATAACTGAGTGCTTACTATGTACCATGAGGTCCACATTCATTATTTTCTTTGAATCTTCATGATTACCATATGTGTCATGTCCTAGTATTACCCCCATGTTAAGATAAAAACAAGACAAAACAAACTGGGCTTAGAGAGTCTAAGTGATTTCTTCTAAGTCTTGCAGCTAATAAGAGGTGGAGGTGCAATTCAAGCCCAGGGCCTAAGTGTGTCTGCTTACTACAGCTCATGGCTCATGGCCAGCACCATTGCCAGCTCTATCTACCACTGCTTTCTTCTTGGCATTGGTTTCTGGTTGTCAGGGTAATTGCTGCCACTGATAATGAGGTTAACCCAAGGATGCATTCATTGCAATAGAAGTGTATGGGGGTTGGGGTGGAGGAAAGACAGAAAGAGAGAGATTGACTTCAGGGGCATTTTTTGGGAAGAGCATTGTTGGGAGCATTCATATGTGTGCACACATGGGAGTGATATGAAAAATATTTGTCAACCTGTAATCATCAACTAATTAGAATGAGTGTCTGTTATAACACTGGTGCTGGAGGCACCCTACAATGACAGGTGTTACCCCACTGACTGGTGGATCTTAGGGTGGTCTGAGAGATCCCAGGGAAGGCACTTAGAGATCCTCAGGCTGTAGCCATTTATCAACTGACAGCAGAATTTCTATATTTTTGCATAGAATATCAGCCTTGTAGGGATGGATCTGAGTGAAGGAAAAAAGATTTCAGAGTGAGATAAAGCTATTGTATACTCAAAGGTATATTTGAAATACCTTAAATTGATATAATAAATCTAGTCTCATCCTGTTCCAGTCTTTCCTTTACAGAGCAGCCAGAATAATCTTTCTAAAACAAATTCTGACCATTTCATTCATTCCTCTGTCTAAAACCGTATGATGGATCTTGTGTCTGCCCTCTCCCTCATAAGAAGAAACTCTCAGCTTGATGTTCATGGAAACCATGTGATCTGGTGTCTGGTTGCCTTTTGAACATCTTCCCCCCCTCCCAACACACACACACACACACACACACACACACACACACACACACCCCCACACACACACCTTTTCCTCCCATCATGCCAAAACTATTTGGTATCTCTGGAACACAGTGTGTTATGTTAACTCATGTACTTTTGCTCAAGAAGTTCCATCCTGGAAGTCTCCTACTAATCCTTCAATACTGAACCAAACGTCGCTTCTCTGGGAAGCCTCACTTCCATCTGGACTTCACTAGAAGCACACACATAGCTCTTTCTTAGCTCTGATTACCTTCTGTCAAAACTGTTTAGTTGTAGGTCAGCCTCTCACCTCAGATTGTTAACTCCATGCCCGTATGTCCACAGCAGCTATCTTTCTTCATCCTTGTAGCCACTACTGTTAGCTCTATGCTTAATTCATAGTGGGTTCTCAAGAAATACTCAAGAAGATAGAGCAATCACTTCCATAATCTCACTGATCCCTGCATACCAAGGATGTGAGGTGCCAGAGCCGAGGTACAGAGGGTTTGGTGCATTGCGCGGCCCTTATGTGGTAAGGCCACGGGCAATCCAGTCTTCTAATTCCAGAAGGGAAAATTCGGTGACATTGTACCTTTTTATAATACTCCAATAATTAATCCAGAAAAATCAAGTTAGGATCTTTTTGGAATATACCTCCCCTAAGGCTGGATTAGTTTCCATCTCTAATGTCTTTCCCTGATGATACCTATTCATTAGGTCCTGCTGCATCAGGAAGTTTCCAAGAGGCTTTCTTTTTGAGAAGAGTGTCTTAATTGCAAAGTCTCCTTACAACATATGCCCGGAGTCTTGGGCTGGTTTGGGTCCCTCCTCTGTCTATCCCTCCTCCTCTTCTCTGAGCTTTCCCTGGGCCTCCACATCCAGATGTTCCAGGACCAGTGACTGGCTTGTCATATGGTCCTTGGGATCCAACAATCAGCCATACCCCTAAGGTGTTTTCTAGGAATCTATGGCAAGCAGGACTTTTAAACATGACCTTATGCAGAGCTTATGTGCAGATGTGCTGCCTCTTTATCTTTTCAAGTTTCTCTCCAGCATGGCTGGGGATGCTCACCTGCAGCTCTGGCGTCCCATCCTAACCTTGATGTCCTCAGTGCTGGATTTCTCAAACTATCACCACAGTTCTTTGCTGCCCATGGCAATAGTACAGCAGCAAATTTCACTTTGGCTTTACATCATGTAAAAGCATAGCTTACAGATAACTATAAATTCCACAAGTAGTCGGTGAAATATTCTGTATGGCCTTGGACTTGGCTTTAGAACAGTTCCTGCATGCTGACCTTGTTTTCAAGTGAAAAGTAAGCAAAGGAAGGTCTAGAGCTGTGCTGTCCAATATGGTAGACACATGTGGCTATTAGGTCTTGCAATACGGTCAGTCCTAATTGAAATGTAAGAATAAAACACACTTGATTTCAAATATGGTATGAAAAAAATGTAAAATGCATCCTTAATAGTTTTGATGTTGCTTACATGTTGAATGATACTATTTGAGATATTAAAAGCTTACATGAAATAAGTTGTTAAAATCATTTTCTTCTAGTTTACTTTTTAAATGTGGATAACACTGAAAATTCCATATGTGGCTCGTACAGTTTGCTATTGGACTGCACCGCTCCAGAGGATTTGCCTGGTGGCTCTTTAGTATTAGTAAGCTAAATGTGTACAGATAGACTAGAAAGTTAGTGCATAATGAAAAGGCAGAAAAGGTTATGAATGACAGAAGGAAGCTTCTGCTCAGATTTTTAAATTTCTGTTCCCTGAATACGCCGACATGCCACCTGCCTGACAAGCTTTTAAGAAGGTCTGATAATCCTCAGAGAAATGACGCTGAACCAAATGGCATCTGTCTAAGGCTCACTGCATGGTGCCTAACCTCAGAGGCTTAAAATCAATATTGATTTTTGTCATTTACTTCACCCTGGCATTTAAATATCCCTAAGATTTATTGCCTTCAGGTTTTCTGGTTAAGATTCAGTGATGGGTGTGATAGCAGAGGTGGTAATAAGTTATGTAGATATCATTTAATTTATGAACTCTGGAGCTCAGGGGTAGTTTTCAGTTAAGAAATATATTAACCACATACATATCACCCTTCATTTTGCGGTGAGAATTTCCAGGCTGGGTCCCTATTGTGCCACTTAATTTATGGCCTGGCCAGGTACCTGGATCTGGCACAATATTTCAATATAAGTTGCTCCCACATTCAGAGAAGAGAAGAAGATGGGCTTGCAGGAAGCCAGCTGGACAGTTGATGGATTGCTCTCTCTCCTCTACATAGGCTGGGGCCTTAAGTAGCTTTTAAAGCTTGTCAGCGGTTTGGGTCTTTTTCTGCTCTGAGAAGCTGCACACACTGGCCTGGACAAGCAGAATCAGCCATGCTGCAGCAGAAGGAGGGCAGCTCCCAGAAGTTACTTACGTTGACAGCCGGAGTGCCAGGAATTCCCCGGCAGACACTCATCACACTTAGGCCCTGTAGTTCCCGTCTTACACTCACAAAATCCTGAGCCATTACAACGATCATGGACTGAGCCCAAAGGGTTACAATAACACTCTGTAGAAACAAGACAACACACAGGCTGGAGACAAGTCTGCACAGCTTACAAGTTATCAACACAGGAGCGTCCCTTAAATACATTGCTTACTTAAAGGACGATGTCTGCTAATGAAATGCTTGGGCAAATAGGGCAATTTTGGTCCCTGAGTATTGATTTCCTCACCCTTCCATGATGCCATTTTCATGATATGGGAGGAAATTAACTGAAAACTTCTGGGGAAAGAAGACATCATGCTCTTCATGGCTAACGGATCATAATAGAGATTCCATTTGTTAGGGCATTTTTAGATGGTTTAATGAACACCATGAGAAGTTTGTGTATTGAGTATAAATCAATATGCCATCAGTGTAAAATCTATTTTAAATTATTCAAATAGGCTTCTCTGTTACACTCAATATTTGAGAACTGCTGAACATCTTTAAAGTGCAGTATGAATGCACTTTGTTCATTTGAAGGCATTTTTTACTTTATGATTTGGAAGAATATATATATAGATAGATAGATAGATAGATAGATAGATAGATATAGATATAGATAGCCTGTAGATGTTGTTTAGATACATGGCACGTTAGTGGGGTTTTAATGGAGCCTAGATTAACAATCATGAAAGAAAAATAAAGTTTGTAATCCCAAGTAGATTTCAACATCGGCATAATTTGAGACATATGTTTTTCATTATAATGTCTACTGGAAGGACAATACAACTTTGTTGAGTAAAAAGTAAAGAGAATATTTTCTTGATTCCTCACACATTCTCATACAGGATATTTTTGCTTCTGAAGCTCTACTTCGCTGAAAGGCTGAACCTGAAATGGGAATTTCTTAGGTTTCCATTAGTCTGAAAGGCAACAACAGCTAGTTTGTAGCTTTTGGAATTTGGGGGCTAAAGTTCCTTTCCTCCTAAAGTTCCTATATAATCTGGGCAAGTCTCTCTGCCACTCTGTTTCCTTTATATTAAAATGCCCCATTAAGTGTTTTTTTTTTTTAATCCAAATAAAATACCGACCAACTGACCAACCAACCAAGAGGAGCCCTGCAAACTTCAGCTTATTAACATCAAATTTAGTGTTTTAGATTGGCAACAGAGATTCAAGATTTAACATTATAAAGAGGTCTGGAAGTTTGTCGGGATTAATTAGACAATTTCCTCAAAGAATGTAGAGGGCCTTAGAATTATGACTTATTTCACGTTTCTTAAGTCGATTTTTGAGTTCAGTGTTATTGTGATACAAACATTATTAAGACTAACAGTGACATATGTGGGGAAAAAATAAAACTAAATAAACCAAAATTCTTCCTCCTTGCCTGACTTGGTTTGTGCTTAATAACTAGAATTTTATTTTAAGTGGGCATTTTTTATTTTAATCTGTGTGTATATGGGAGTTGTTTTTTGGAATCGTGATTTTGTTGTGGCTTTAAAAATTTATAGGTATGTATTTAAACTTACTCAACACTTACTTTGTTCCTTACTATTTAAAGTGTATAAGTTGACAGTGAGTCACCAACACTTCATAATCTAAGAAGTAGAGTTATATCTGGCCAACATGAATTTAGGTACTACTCTAGTTAATTACCTCATAGCAATTATATTAATATAAGGGTTGAGATGAAAAGATAGTAAACAAAATTTTTTAAAAAATGTGGAACATCTACACCATAGGACATCCCAGTGATTGTCGTAAGAAAAGGTGATTAAGTGTGTTATTCAAATAGTAATGAAAATAAGAGACAAGGAGAGGTGTGGTCTACATACCACCTTATGTACAAATAACTTAGTTTTTAAAAAAATATCATTTGTGAGACCACAGTCAATGGTAGATATTGGTGATGGCCTGGGAGTACTATATTTTATTCCATGAAATTAGAAAGATCATGCAGAACTATTAGGCTGAAAACAACATGAACTACTTTTGGAGGTTTGATTAAAAAGTTACACTACAGTTGATTTATAGGTATTAGAAGTGTCTTGTCTATAGAAGGTACCTCTGGTTATCTGATCTTGGGTTTCAAGTGGTATAAAAAAACAATACAGCCTAATTTGAGATACGTTATGTAGTAACTACTGAGCCCTGTGTTTCCTTCTGATGTCAAGCTTGTTATCAGAGATTATTAGCAGTGATTACTCAAGGTCATGAACCCCATATCCTCTAGCTTCCTGCTTAATGCTTGAGTTTATATGAAACAGAAGCATGCAAGGGTGTCATCTTCATGTAATTGCTGCATCATACAGGGTAATTACATGCATCTTTGGAGACATGGCTGTGCTTGGAATTTGTATGAAAATGAGTAAGTTCACCAGTAGTCACAAAGCAGCAATCACTGTGGCAACACGGAATAGTCTGCATTTTATATTTGCCATAATATAAAATGGTGCAAATAGTTTATGACATCTATTTCAATGCAGTCTACATTTTGTCAAAGATAGGGGCTATTCCCTTACAACCAGGGGATGGATTTCACTGTCATTTGTTCAAGAAATGGCAAAGTGCCTTTCTTTTCCTCAGAAGTAGAGAAGACTTAGATGAAGTTAAAATTTTCCAAGACTGGAGCTTAATTCTGTGAAAGTGAATTAGGTAAATATCCATTCATTTTCCTTTGTGCCTTCTATACAAAAAGGTATTAAGCTCTCAATTACTTGTGGTGCATGCTCTTAAATTTAATTCTCAGTCCTGCCTCAAGCCTTTTGGGGGATCTGAACTGTGTAGAAGAGTGAATTGGTTCATGCTTTTCCAAAGGGCAAACCTTGGCAATAGGGAACCACAGGCTACCAATGGTTCTGAGAGAGCAAACTCCAGCCTTAGCCTGGTGGGTAGGCAGTCCTGATACCTCTACCCTTGGCTCTTCAAGTGGGAAAAGCAGAATCCATAGCTCTTTTAGGAAACTGTTACTGATTGATTGTATGCGTCTATGGACTCAAGAAAAAAGATAGACAGTAGCATATACCAGTTAGCCACATTTTTCAATTCATTCTTTACAATTTTATCCCTTAGGAAAAGGGCAGCAATTTAAGGAATTTTGATATGGGGAATATTGTAGCTAATTTTAATTCTCAGCTAAATTTAATCCCAAAATTCTCATCTTTGGGTTCAGCAATTTACTTGGTTTGAAGAGTACAAAATACTGAATAGAAACATGTTTGCCTCAATAAAATATAAAATTCCCCAAAGGTTTATAATTTTAACTAACAAACTTTCTAAAAATGGAGAAAACAACTGCTTTTGATTTAAGTAGGAAAACATGTATATTAAGCTTTCCATAATTCATCTCTATGTTATTTAAAAGACAAAAGCTAAACAGGCTATCTTCCTGTCTGGAGATAATCCAACATAGATTTACAGAAGAACTACAGCTCTTAAAATTGAATAGGAAGTGCAGATTTCATGGTCCATAAGATTACTTTAGGACTGGAAAAAGGCCAAAGTTCATTAGAACAGAATATTCCGAGTAAAACACTGGGATATTGTTACCTACTAGATATTATAAGGAATGAAATCTTTTCTTTTAGGGCTTTTTCTTTGTTCATTTAAAATAATATGACTGTATATAAAATAATATGACTATATATATAACATGACTTAACACTGTAAAATATTTTAATCTTAGGTATTTTACATAAATGATTTTTATTACTATGTTCCTATTTATTTTACCTTTTTTTGTTTCCATATTTATGGTATGACATTTTTATATTTCTACAAATGTCATTCAGTGAAATGTAACTCTGCATTCAAAGTTCTGACAGCTACATGTCTTTTGGGTTATTAATAACCTCAAATCCTTGTAACCCCAATAGTTATAAAGGCAATTGAACTTCTGTTTGCAAGCTCACAATGGAATTGCTATTGTCATCCAAAAAGCATACCATAAGTAGAAGTCTGACAAGCTTAGCTTTGCTAATTATGTCAGGATAGTTGGGAGAAGGTATTCAAGCTTTGAAGTCAGGAAACTAACTCTTTGTGAAAGCTGTATGATTTGGGTCAATTTGCCTTACTTTTCTCAACTAGAAAATAGAGGAAATTATCAGTGGAATACTTACCCCCACAGTTTTGTTAATGAGGATTAAGTAGAAAAAACATATCTGGAAGTCAGTTCACAGTTTACCAAGTGTTTTCTGTGCATCCCATATGATCCCAGTTTGACCAGGAGTTCTGAAATGACTTACCTAAGGCATACAGCTATTAAATAGCAAACTGGGACTTGAACCCAGCTCTCCGGCCTCTAAGTCCAGTGATTTCTCCACTAATTCACAAATAATAAATAAGGAGGCATTTTGAAAAATAGAACATACTGTAGATATAAACAGTATTACGTAAACTTGGCCTAACTGAATTCAAAACAACTTGTACAGCTATCTTATGTGATTCTGGGCAAATTGCTATATGACCTTAACAATCCAATCAGAAAACAATGATCCCAGAATTGCAGATGAATTAATTTCTTTTTTGATCCAAAGACCGCCTGCCATTTTCCAGCATGTGTTTTCTATTTGAATTAGTCTCTATGCGCAAAATTCTACTTTTAAAATTAGTTGCGTATGTTGTTACCTACTGGTGAGGTAACAGATATGCATGTACCCTTGACCATTTCAAATATATGCATTTCTTCAAAGTAAATTGTGAAGTGAAATTCCATTTATTGTTTCTTATTTTTCTAACAGCTCCCTTTCTTAAAGACGGGTTCCACTACACCAAATGTAGGAGAAACTTTTTTGGGTGGGAAGGGCAGGCTCTCTACAGTTGACCTGAGCAGTAGTCAAGGTGGGGGCAGGGGAGAGTACTCGAGAGAACCCTGTGGACACAGTTTTCCAGAGCTAATTTACCTTGGAAGCTAAGAGAATTAATTGCCTAGAATAGCTTTGAGAAATTGCTTCTCCTTTTGGGGGCTATAAGAAAATCAAATAAATGGAATTTCACTACTATGAATGGAAAAGTCAGGCAAACTTCTATATTACCGATTGCTAATGACTTTCAATTCCAAATGGCAATATTTTAAATCAATTGATATTTGTTGGTTACCAATTATATGCAAGAGTTTATCCTAATTTCGCATAACTATAATTAAATATCATATAGTGAGTTTCTATTTTAAAAGTTGAATGTACAATTTAAGACTTTAAGATAAGTTTGGTATTACCAGGTTTTAAGATTTCATGCAAAAAAAAAAAAAAAAGAAAGAAAGAAGGAAAAAATAATAGAAAGAAAATTCTTCATCTAAACATGATTTTTGGCTCACCATCTTTAAACCAACAATAACAAAAGGACTCAGAATATATCCCCCAATTCAACCAGCATAAGAGAATTTTATGTCTACCACAAGGACGTTTTCTCCATTGAGAAAGTTCATTCTGGCTCAGCCGTGGTGCAACTCAACAGCCTCTTCACCTTAAATAGCTCCCCATAGCTCGAAAGGCACAGAACAATAGCTGAAATTATAATGGAACTGACCTATGCACACATTCTCATCGTCCAGCTGTGCAGAAGCATTTCTGAAGTAGCCCAGCCTGCATAACTCACAGTGCTGCCCTCTAGTGTTGTGTTTACAGCTCACGCAAATGACTGTATTGAGCAGATCGATATAACTGCATCGATTGGAGTGGCCGAAGCATTCACAATCTTGCAAGGAAGAACAGAAATGTATACAGAGTGTATACAGTAGCAGAGTCACAGCACACTACATGCTTGGATAAAATGAGGAGTGGAGAAAAGATGGAGGGATGGCATTACATCTATGTGATGCAACATGACACATGGCGACCACAGGTGGTGGTGATTGGCATGGGAGTAGCATCTGTTTCGAGCAGGATAGAAAGGTTGGACATTCAGAACATGACTGGAGACTGTTAATTTTTGGCATACAGTATGAACAGAAGCATTTGCAGGTGTACACCTTTTAAAATTTGGGAAAGCTCTGTTGCCATTGATGCAAAAGTCTAATTTTTGCACATTGAGAACTTTACTGTCTTTGTGCCACATTCCCCATTTTTTCTTAATGTTTGCACTCTTAAAAAGAGGGAGGGAATTATGTGAGCATCAAGGGCCTGAGCCTGCCATCACTGATGACTTCTTTGTTTAGAATCTGATTATTATTTATATCAAGATAGTAACTTCGTCAGTGTTTCCCAGAAATTGTGGCAAATTTCACAGCGACAATTAACCAATTCTCTATCTTTTGTTTTTTCCAAATGCTAAGAGGGAAGACAGTTTTTGTAAGCTGTTCATCAAGCCAAATCTGATGTTTATCTGTGAGAAAAAATATAAAAAGCAGGGAGATGATTTGTACGGGAAAACTGCTCTTAAGAGCAGTTTCTTTTTCACCCAAGCAGTTTTCTTTTCACCCAAGTCTCAAGCTAAATCTACTACAAAAGAAGGATTAGGCAGCTGATGTTTGGGCAGTACCCTCAGATTTCCTTTTCCTTTGTTTCCCCAGATTGTTGGAGGTGTCTCTGAGGCTGAGGAGTGATGGTTGGAAGGACTAGACAAGGAGATGGGGAAAGAGGAGGAGAGCAGGTGGGGAAGGGTAGAGGGTGACTAGATTTTCTCTCTGTTGCACCTCAGGGAAGCAAGAGGTTGTTCACCTAATTCAATGTTTTTCAAAGAAGTGGTAAAGACAAAGCCTTTACCAGTGGTAACAATTATCAAATCAGACAGAAAAAGAAGGTGGGAAGAATAAGTAGGTGGGGAGGCTAGTTTTTTCCTCTCAAAATATGGGGGTAGGCAGAGCTGGACATTTATGAGAAAGGTCAACCATGGTAGTGTAAGCCTTCCTTATCTAATCTAAAAGTACTCCTCTTATTAATGTCTGGCTTTTATTTTACCTCACTAGGAAGCCAAACACAGCCACTATTTGAGCCCATTCATCCATTCATTCATTTAATATTTTATTGGGATGATTTACCATGTGCCGGGCACTATGCAAATGACTGAGTTACTCTTTTGGCCTAGGCAAATTTTTGAAGTAGTGCATTGGATGAGTATGGAGGAATGAGGAAGAGTGACTAGAATTTTTTTTTTTTAATATAATGTTATTCATCAGAAGGTGTGGATTCATTTAGTGCAGAGCCAGTTGTTATAGTAGAGGGTGGACAGAGGTCAAGATCCTGAAAGAATAAAATCAAATTTGGATAGGAGCAAAGAAGGACACCGGAAATTGTAAAGAGTGGAAGATACCAGGATTAGGGTCAGCACCTTGGGGACTCTAGATGCTTAAAGAGAAGCAAGAAGAGGGAGGCTCCTGAAGATAAGCCACTTTCTTTAGGGGAGACTAGTTTTGTCATGTGTCTAAGTGTGGTGGGGACTGGGATTGAGAGGAAGCAGAGAAAGAAGGAGAACAGAATGGGGCCTTGGGACTTGGATGTGGGAGATGGGGTAAGAACATACCTGCATAAATTCAGTCGTTAAGGCATGCCACATTATTAGCAATAAAATAATAACAACAAAAGTAATATACAGACTGCCAAATTAAATTTTCTTAGAAAACAAACATTTCATTCTAATACATTATATCTGAGTTACACCTAGTTTATGCTAGCATTTCTGACTTGCTAGGAAACCTAAAAGGCCTCTAGAACCTTCCTTGGTTGAAGATTGAAATGGGGAGAACCTTTTTGGTCTAGAGCCATCCAAGAATAGAGTTTGCAGGAAGGAGACCCAATTCCCAAATCTAATTGCTTCTCAGGACTTCTCCAGAGCTGACATTGCTGAGGAGTAGACACCAACAGCCCTGTCCTCTGGCTCTCCCTCTCCCAAAGAGGTTCCTTGGTGGGGGTGGTTCTTCACATTCACCAACCCCCACCCCCCCCACCCCCAGGCTGGCCTTGGTGCACCTACTATAATTTATTCAGCTTTTTTCAAAGGGACGTTTTCTTTTTTTTTTTAAAAGATTTTATTTATTTGACAGAGAGAGATCACAAGTGGACAGAGAGGCAGGCAGAGAGAGAGAGAGGGAAGCAGATCCCCCGCTGAGCAGAGAGCCCGATGTGGGACTCGATCCCAGGACCCTGAGATCATGACCTGAGCTGAAAGCAGAGGCTTAACCCAATGAGCCACCCAGGTGCCCCGCAAAGGGACCTTTTCTGTGCACAAATTGATCCTAGGGACTTTTTGAAACAACACAGAAGTCCTTGTTGCCAAAAAGCTTGTTTTGTGGGCAAAACAATCACATGCTTAGAATAACTAGAAAGCAAAGAAGCTTGTGCTAAGAAAAACCAAACAGAGATACAGAGTGATCTAGGGAGAAATTCATTTAACTTGAGAGAAATTAGGAAAAACTAACTTAATGCTGGACTTAAACACTGAGTCTTCCATGAGGGGAAATAGGTTTTATTAAAAAAAAAAAAAAAAAGTGTGTGTGTGTAGTGGGGAGGATGAGCATTTCAGGTGAAAGGGGAATAGAGTGTGTGAAGTTGGGTAAGTGTAGAGAATAAGGCTGGGGAAGTTTCAGAATGTAGTTCCCTCATGGACGTTTGAAGGGTTCTGTAAGATCTGCCCAATGGCCAGAGCTACATGCTGAGCTCCCATCTGGCAGTTTTATCCAAAAAATAAAACATATCCTTAGATATTCAAGTTCAACACTTTTAATACCCAACACACGAATCTCCGTAGACATATCAAATGTCATGCTATCACCTACTGTTCTTTGAATTCAATGGATAGTATACATTTTGTGATAACATTATTTGTTTCTGGGTCTTGTTTGAGAATCAATTTATTATTTTCAATAGGATGAGGTAAGTAATATAAGTTGTACAAATAATTATATATAGAACTGTACCAGCTAAACACCCAATATTAATAAATTTATTTTAGAAGATAAGTGGATATCCAAATGTCTTATAATCTAGGAAATAGAGTAGCAATTTGATTCTTTTAACACTTCTAAGACTCGTCTGAGACTTCAGTAAAGCTGTCTTTTCTGGCCATGATATATTTGAGAATGTAAATGAGAAAAAGATCTTCGAAAAACATGAGAGCACTGGATAAATGCAAGGTATCTCAAATGTAATTATTAGGCTGCTGTATTATTTTTCAGTATTCTGTTAATCTACCACTCTTTAGGAAATAACTAGTCTTTCCACACAGGCACAGAATCCTTGAATGATCATTAATGGTGTGGTCTGAGCTACATTATCATATTAAGACCTTGTAGGGATGATATTAATAGTTCAATATTTCTTTGATCTTCCAATTCATTGACCTACCACGTCCTCCCTTCCCCTCTGGGTACTTCTTACAAAGTACAGAGTCCATAGCTCATCCTTACAGTGACTTCTTTTTATACACTCTCATCTCTCTTGCCCCCCTAAGAGCTCACCTCAATTATAGTCTTCTGGGAAGACTTGATCCTGCTTAAATCCAACTCTCCATTCTCCATGCCTACACCTCAGCAGCTACATGTGACTGGAGTTTTTCTCCAACTATTTTGAAACAAATCTCATTTTAATTTCATGACCATAAACCTTAAAGGGAGCTTTAGGACTGCCAGAAAACCCTTCTTGCAACAGGGGACTTCTGGTCCACCACTCTCTTTTGCTTCTCCTTCTTTCCTACTCACTGATATAGGAAAGATGTTAGGGTTTGAAGCCGATGCCAAGAGAGAATTCTTGAGACGTCCTTGGTGCAAAAAAATGGTTTAAGTAAAGCACTGGGACAGGACCCATGGGCAGAAGGAGCTGCACTGGGGTCATGAGGAGTGGCCCAATATATACTTTCAGGTTGGGAGGAGGCTAAGGATAGCTTAAGCCACTAAGGAATTTTGGAAGCAAGGTTTCCAGGACCTTGAGAGGGCTAGCTATTGTCGGGAAATTGCATTTCTTTTCGTCTAATGAAACCTTAGTCTTGAGATCCTTCAGATGTATATCAATGAGCCATATGCTTGGTGGATGACTGCCAATATATATCTTGGGGGTTTAAAGATAAAAGAACTTTTATATGTTGAAATAGACTTACAGGGTCCCAGGGGTCAGGTTAGGATTACCTTTTGCCCTTAGCCAAAGTGTCAACATTGAGGCAGCTGGGTCCCTAGAAGAATGTCACTTTGCCTGTTTCAAGGACTTGTCAGTGGGCTGTAGATAGTAAGGAAATTTAATAATTTTTCTTCTGCTTTTGTTTCCCACATCATTCACCATTGTTTTTCCCTCTCTTTTCCTTTTTTTCCTTTCTCCTCAAATGTCTCAGGGCTTAGTTCTTGGAACTCTTTGTTCTTTAGGCTCACCCTAGAGCCAGGATTCTTTACCTAGCCCCATGACTTTATATACCATCCAAATGCTGACCTTTCCAAAGTAGTTATTTCAGGCTAGATCAACCACCAGTTAGAGATTTCCTCCAGACTGACCAACTCCACTGCATTCTTAGTCTACACTTGGACATTTAATGTATATCTCAACTTCAATATGTTTGTAAGAGAACTCATAGGTCACCTTCCCAAACCTGTTACGCACCCAGACAACCCACCCCATCTCAGTAAATGGCAATTCTGTTCCTCCAATTGTTTAGCTCAAAATTCCTGGAGTTGTTCTTGACAGCTCTTTTTTTCCCCTTCATCCCCGACAATCAATCAATCAGCAGATCTTGGCTATCCTTTAAAATACTTCCTAAATCTCACCACCTCTTACTAC